AACATACCTTAGAGCACTGATTTGCCCTTAATAGTTTACAGGTGTGCCAAGCTGCTGCTTCAGTTCACAGGTCTGGCGGGTAGGGCCTGGAGTGATCAAGCCCCTGCTGCTGCTTGCCCCCGACCACACCAGCCTGTCCACTTACCTCAGTAGACTCTGCAAACATTCTTACTGCCTGTGTGCAAAACAGCGTTAAAAAGGCTGGGAAGCACTGCCCTATATGACAGCTAGATGCCATCAAAATAATAACAGCAATGGAAAAAAAATTACCTATTACAACGCTCTATGGATCAAAAATTAGCTCACACACGTCACATCATTTTATTCTCAGGAAAATCATGAGTGGTCAATAGGGCGCTTATATTTATTATCAAGGTTCAGAGATGGTAATGTGCTCACTAACACACATTGCTAGGAAATGACAGAGCCAGGACTTTTGAATCAAGGATTTCTGCTCTAAGCCTATGCTTTTTCTGACATAGCTCCCTGTATGATGATAGTCCACATTTGCACAGATCTTTGAAATGAGTGTTTTGATTTCATACTCTGAAGAAAGTTCAAATGGTTTTCGTTTGTTTTCTCTTGTGACTGCCATGCAAATACTAACATATATGGAAACTGATACTCTCTTTGAACTTAGCAAGACTGAGAAAGCACAACACTAAATGAAACATTTAGGCCGTACCAATTTTCTTTTTACAGCTCCCATCCCTGACACCCTGAGAGCCAACCCTTGTTATTTTGTGTGAGTAGAAAAGAGAGTTTTTGCCCACGACTCTCCCCAAGAGTACCTATTAAAAAGAAAATAATACGTTGCCGTTGACCATGCTTAAGTTTTGCTTTGTTTTGCCGAACACAATTTCTCATTGCCCTTTCCATAAAAGGGAAGAATAGAGAGAAATGAAAGAAACTATCAAAAATAAATTACATTTTTAACATATAAAAGGAAATATGAATTTTAAATATAGGGTAATTATTGTCGAGAGGTATTACTGAAATAAAAGGAATTTAAGTTTGCTACTCCTGTTTTAGAAAGCTAGACAACCAATAGATTTCAGTGACTAGATATAATATTTTAATTTCTTTATAGCAATGGAGAAACAAAGAGGATACATGCACCAAAATAGGAAGGTATGAGGAAACTCCTATAAGTAGCTATTATAGACAGATTCAAAAGCACAAGTAATATCTATAATATTAACCAAATATTAATTCACTGTTCAGAAAGTGAGAATGCATGGCATAAAACAATAAGTTTAAGCAAGCATAAGTTACAGAATACAATATGCAGTGGTTACGGAAGTGAGCCTGTGGCAGGTTTAGAATTCCATGTTTAAAGACATGGGCTCGAGATCCAGAAGGTTCAAATCCTGGTTCTATCACTTAGCAGTTGAATGATGATAACATGCTTAATTTTTAGTACAGAAGAAGTATTGATTTCTTGATTCAATCAACAGTTAAGATTAGTAAAATTACAGCATTATATAAAAAGTAGAATTCTTATACTGATTGCTTATTTTCAATAGTACTTTTAAACTAAATCTCATCAACCACAAAATGTCCACAAGACATAACGTAATTTCTGCCAACCAGTAGCAAGTAAGCTGAGATTATAAACTGGAATAACATAAGTGCAACACTGTGGGCAAGTTCATGGTAAAAGCCAAACTAACCTAGTTCCATGAAAGGCTAAGCACATTTGGAAGACAATTCAATTCTTCCAGTACATATTGCGTATTCCATCCTATTCTACAAAACTGAGTCACCACTGCCTCAATGCTGTCCTATTACTCCTTATCCTGAGATGTAGATTAAACATTCTCTTCAGCAGCTAACTGTAAACATAAACCCTACTTCTCAGGACATGTGACTTTTCAACATACTTAATAAGGGGCATGTCTATACTGGCCAAGTAAAAATCTACCTTCAGAAATCAAGTCCTTTTGGTGGCCACAAGGGTTGATGTGTGTTCCACTGGCAAGCTGACTTATGTCAAGTCTAAGTAGCACATCTTATCCACCCTGTTTGAACTGTACATCCAAATCTAATCTAGGGCATTCTTCACAGAATTAGAACAAAAAATTTCACAATTTGTATGGAAACACAAAAGACCCCAAATAGCCAAAGCAATCTTGAGAAAGAAAAACAGAGCTGGAGGAATCAAGCTCCTGGACTTCAGACTATACTACAAAGCTACATTAATCAAGACAGTGTGGTACTGGCACAAAAACAGAAATATACATCAGTGGTACAGGACAGAAAGCCCAGAGACAAACCCACACACATATGGTCACCTAATTTATGGCAAAGGATGCAAGAACATACAATGGAGAAAAGACAGCCTCTTCAATAAATGGTGCTAGGAAAACTAGACAGTTACATTACAACACTCCCTAACACCATACACAAAAATAAGCTCCAAATGGATTAAAGACCTAAATGTAAGACCGGACACTATAAAACTTTGAGAGGAAAACGTAGGAAAAACACACTTTGATATAAACCACAGCAAGATCTTTTTTGACCCACCTCCTAGAGTAATGAAAATAAAAACAAAAAATGAACAAATGGGACCTAATGAAACTTAAAAGCTTTTGCACAGCAAAGGAAACCATAAACAAGACGAAAAGACAACCCTCAGAGTGGGAGAAAATATTTGCAAACGAAGCAACTGACAAAGGATTAATCTCCAGAATATATAAACAGCTCATGGAGCTCAATATCAAAAAAACTAACAACACAATTAAAAAATGGGCAGAAGATCTAAATAGACATTTCACCAAAGAAGACATACAGATGGCCAAGAGGCATGTGAAAAGATGCTCAATATCACTAATTATTAGAGAAATGCAAATCAAAACTACCATGAGGTATCACCTCAAACTGGTCAAAATGGCCATTATCAAAACATCTAGAAACAATAAATGCTGGAGAGAGTGTGATGAAAAGGGAACCCTCCTGCACTGTTGATGGGAATGTAAATTGATACAGCCACTATGGAGAACAGTATGGAGGTTCCTTAAAAAACTAAAAATACAACCACCATATGACCCAGCAATCCCATCATTGGGTATATACCCTGAGAAAACCATAATTCAAAAAGAGACATGTACCACAATGTTCACAGTAGCACTATTTACAATAGCCAGGACAGGAAGCAACCTAAATGTCCATCAACAGATGAATGGATAAAGAAGATGTGGCACATATATACAATGGAATATTACTCAGCCATAAAAACAGTATTGTGAATCAATTATACTCCAGTAAAGATGTATAAAAAATAAAAAAAAAAACCCAAAGCTAATCTAGGTAGGAATATATACTTTGTATTATAAAATAAGATGTCTCCAAAATTTAAAGATACACTAAAATTTCCACAAATTCGTATTTTTTTTACCTTCAGCTGCTAACTTTACAAATTTTCCTAATATAAACATGAATGTACAGAAGTGTTTTTAAACGTGAAATCACATTTAAAAGCAAGAAAATGCAATATCCTGAGCAATCATAAAACAGAGAAACCAATAAAGAATGAAATTCTGGGTCAATAAACACCTTGAACGAGTATCGAATGAACACTGACTGCTTGACCTCAATTCTCAAAATAATACAGTAACACACTAACGCTGCAGAAAGCTATCCAAACACCCTCGTTAGAACACACCATCTTTGTTGTCTGTTTCTGGAATTATGTGTGTTAAGAATAACTTCCAATTATACTCTCCTAGTGTTCAAATTGACTTTGAATCAAATCACTGTTCTAAGCTGTATATAAACCATATTAAGTCTTTCTAAGTCAATATTCATTTATAGCCAAACACACACGTGAAATCACACTCAGTGCTGTACCCTAATGAAATGGGAACAACTCCCACAAGCTTTCCTTAGGTAGATTTTAAGTTGGCAAGCAGGTTCTGTACTGGGCAAGGAAACGTTTCATTTCTGTGGGAAGTTCATTCGGTTTCCACCTTGTCAGGGTTTCGTTTTCCATGACCAGACACAGGAAAGGTCAGCATTGGGCACAAAGGAAAGCACACATGCACGGGATGCTCAGGTGGACAGAGACACAGCCCGCTTCTGAGAAAGCTGGGCCCCCCCCGCAGGGAGGCAGGACAGGGGACAGGAGGAAAAGTCAGATGATATGTAACCTCCCTCAGCTGAGCCTTCCCCAGTGGAGAGGTCTACATGCACCCACACACACATATCCATGAATGAACGGCAACCTGGTATGTTTTTAAAGTATTTACGTTTTACATGTAAGTGTTAATAACTTCTCACTCTCAAACAGGCCCAGGCTCAATCCACACTACTAGCAATAAGCTTTACACAAAATATAAAGAATATTGAATTTGATATGAAACAACACAAATGAATATCTCCGTAAGTTATACCACAGTTCTTACTAGAAGTGAAAATGGTTAGATTTTAGGATATTTAATTAGGTACTTCCCCCAAATCAACAGCCTACTTTACTGGGATGTTTGGGGATTATTTTGGATAGTACCCATTAATTCAGATTCAAGATGAAATATGAGAAGTCAAAATATGAAACTGTTCTTGAAAATGGCAATTTTCATCCTATAACATTGTACAACATCTTAGGGAAACAGGTTTTTTGTTTTTAAGTTTGAAATGACAATCGCAAAGAGAATATGTCAACAGAAATCCTTTGAATAGGATGGATGCACATCATTCTATTTTTCCTTAAAGATATTACACCCTGTGAGTATTCTGCTATTTTAACAAGGCTTAGGCTCTAAGAATATGAATACTGACAAGCAGCTAGAAGGCCATTTCCCTACCACAACTGGAATAAAAAAAAAAAAACCTACAACAAAAACCTCTAATCCGAAAGGCTGGCTAGCATTCATCAGGCCTCATGAAATTCGGAACAACTCCAATGAAGATGGTTACATCCTATTTCCAAATGCCTTTATTTTTAAATCTGTTTTCGGTATCAGTGATGTTTATGTCCTCTATTTTTGTTAAACACTCACCTGTGATTTTTTGCAGCAAAGGTGACAATTCAGACTCCTCACAAAAGACTTGAGCCAACGCTTTCTTCACTTTTTCTTCACCTTCACCCAGGTCTTTGTCCACTGAGAACTCTCCACTGACAGAATAAATATATATCAGGAGGACCAGCAGCTCTTCGGGGCTGTAGTCATCATTAGTCCTCTGGTTCGAAGGCTTAATCATGGGAAGCAGCTGATTTAACACAACAGACATTGTCGACTCCCCAATGCTCTGAAATAAAAGGGGGGAATAGGCACATATGTCAGTCTTGTACAGACGTAATTTATGCACTACATCAGCCCAAAGATAGTTTGCAAACAAGTCTGTGATGTTCACTGACTAGATAGCTTTTTATTTGTATGTTTCTTGTCCTGGAGAGAATACTGCAGGCAATTTGGCATTAGAGCTGTTGTTTTGAAAGATCTAGTTCATAAAATGGCTGGTCAAGTTGCATACCCTTTTCTATTATCTTACATATTGCTTAAAGAAATAAGAGCCATGTGTTTTAAAAATAAAAGTGTACGTAGTTCAGATGCTAGAAATTTTAAATAAAAATATTTGTAACATAATATGATTAAAAATAAAAACATACCAGCACCTATATGCTGACATTCCTTCAGAGGAATTACTTTAGATTTTATAGCATATTCTTTTAATATTCTTTAAGGTGGCAAATATTAGTCAGAATAGATTTTCTTTTTATAACAATGAAAAGTCATTTCTGCTAAATCTGGTCAAACTGGGTAATGACATTTCAGGATATCTTTGGGTTAGTCTGAAGATAATTCACATTTAAAGTTTAAAAAAAAATGTGCTTTTAGATATTCCACCAATTTCCTGAGTGATATTTAGCAGAGAATTTCAAAATTCCTTTCATGTGATAACAGCATTGCATTACTGAGTTAGCTGCATAACTTCCAATGCACTATGCACATTTCTAGTACAAATTCTGAGGTTTTTGATGAATAGATAAATCCCCATTTTAAACAATGTGATTTAATTCTACTTATAATCTGAAATAACCCTGTAAAATAAAACTCAACTATTTGTATTTATATTAAAATCAGGGGCCAAATGATCACGAGTTACAACTTTCACGTTATTCATTCAGAAGCATTCACTGAGCATCTACTATGTTCCAGGTACTACACTGGGTCTGGGGAAGACAGCAGTGAACGAAACAAATCCTCTGCTATCACAGAGCTAACATTCTAATGGGGGAAAACAGACAATTTAAAGCTAAGGAAGTAAAACATTTAGTATTTTAAATGGTGGTAAGAGCTACTGAGAAAAATAAAGCAGGAATGAAAGACGGGACTTAAGGGTGTGTTTATGTCAGTAAATATGCACTATTATATTTTTTAGACCATAGTCTTTTATTTATTTATTTGTTTGTTTATTTATTTATCTATTTTTGGCTGCGTTGGGTCTTCTCTAGTTGCGCGCGGGCTTTCTCTAGTTGTGGTGAGCGGGCGCTACTCTTCCTTGCGGTGCGCGGGCTTCTCATTGCGGTGGCGTCTCTTGTTGCGGAGCACAGGCTCTAGGTGCATGGGCTTCAGTAGTTGCAGCACATGGGCTCAGTAGTTGTGGCACACTGGCTCTAGGGCACACAGGCTTCAGTAGCTGTGGCCGCGGGCTCAGTAGTTGTGGCTCGTGGGCTCTAGAACACAGGCTCAGTAGTCGTGGTGCAGGGGCTTCGTTGCTCTGCGGCATGTGGGATCTTCCTGGACCAGGGATTGAACCCACGTCCCCTGCATTGGCAGGCGGATTCTTAACCATTGTGTCACCAGGGAAGTCCCTGCACTATTTTAAAGAGGAAAAGCCGTGTTAAGAAGGGAGTATTGGAATAAAGAAAGACCTACAGAAACTCTCTCTCTCTGAATGAAGTTGATGGCAAGCAGCTGAATGTGGTTCTGTATTGGGACGACTACCCAAAATGAGCTTTTCAAATCATTTCCACACCTGGGAAAATCTGGACATATCATCTCAAGGTTAAGGTTCATAATTACATTTTTTAGTACATGGGAAACAGCTGTTACCATTTATTTCAACTAAAAATCCTGGATGTTCACAATGTACCAAACAAAACTAAAATGGAATGACTAAAGTACAAATGGAAAAGAACAGAATGGAGATTTTAACTGTTATGTGGTGACAAGACATGGTTTCTCAAGTATAAACATACCCACTTCTCAAAGGAAATGGCTGAAAGGTTTGAAGGCATCCTAGGACTGTCCTGTAGCCTCAGGAGTCTCTTGGGAGGAACTTTCAAGTGTTTGTTCTTTACTTTAAAAGCTGCCCGAAAGCAATTTAAAAGAAAGGAGGTGTGTGGCTGGCCTGTTAAAAGAAGGGCCACGGGGGCTGCAGCTTTCGCTTTTTATTTTTTACTCTATCACCAACTCCTTGCATGACATTAAACAGATTCTTTCATTGCTTTATATCCCATTTCTAAAAAGCAGGTGTATATATCAAGTATCTGTCCTATAGGAACCCTGTGATTCTCTCCCCAGAGCAAAAATATATATTTTTTTGCGATAGTTACAAAAAGTAAAACAGGGCAGGGTAATCATCATAGTCATTTAAGAAGATTCACTCACTAACATCTGGCCATCAGAGCATCATTTTCAAGTTGTTGATCTGTCACTGGAGAGCAAAATCCCTCCTCAGTGACACTGCAGCGGACTTCCATTGGCTAGCTCGTACCTCTGCACACCAATTTCTAAAATTACACTTTAATCTGCTTAATGCATCTGAAGAAGTTAATAACTGAGCTGAATACAAAGCCAAGAATACTGATTAGTCTTAAAGAGGCATTAGATACTGTGGAAATAAAGAGATTCCATTTCAAAAAGCCAGATTCCAATCTTGACTGTTCCACTAGCTAGTATTTAAACCTCTTTGGATCTCAGTAAACTTCTTAGGATGTCTTCATCTCTAAAATTACATGATCGGACTAGAGGGTGACTGAGTTCTTAAGTCATAATTACGCTAAGATCTCCATTTTTACTTTCTTCTCCCCCTACCTTAAAACATTACCATTGGTGGTAGAAGGCAGTGAATCTCGCTGTTCGCTACACAGCAAAATGTAACAATAAATACTTGAAAAAGAAAAGCCTTCCTATAGAAAGAAATGTAGATGCAGAAATATTGTAGATATGTGTGTAACATGGGCTGATATACATTCACGTATTTCCTAACTCTGTCCACTGAGAAGATGTAGAAGTAGTTACATCCCAGTAGCAATGAGCACTCCAGCGGTCAGGTCTTAGTTTCTAATATCATTCTCCAATAATAGGAACCAGAGATCCTTGGAGAAATGGCTGATTTTAGGGATGGGGCGGGGAAAATACAAGAAGAACCTGGAATATCTTGTAGTGCCAGAAAGTAAGGAAGTCCTTAGAAAACAAACAAATGGGGGCATGTCAAAACGACACAAGAGACAACTGGGAGATCTCCCAGTGGTCAAAGCTGGAATGATTTGCACAAGAGAACAATTAAAGTAGTAGTAGTAATGGATTATAACCCAAAGTATAAAATAAATATGCATCACTCCACACTGGTAATGAATAAGTGGTTGCATTAATTAATGTAGGAGAAGAGAAATATTCCTTAACAGAAGAATTCCAAATAACTTACCTACATAAGCTACTTCTCCTCCTGGAGACAGAACTTAATCGCCCCACATCTTACGTGTGAGCTGAACATGGTGACTTGCTTTTAAAAAACTGTGTATGGAAAGGGGAGGGAGGAGTGACTTTACCTTAGTCAGAGGATCAAGGTTCACATCACCAGTGATAAGTCACATTGATATCACTTGTCCCAAATATGATGTGATGAGATTGGCACTTTACTTTTGCAGTATTCTTCTCCCAAGCCCATAACCCCATGACAAAAACATCAGATAAATCCTAATTGAGGGACATTCTACAAAATGCCTGACCAGCACTCCCTCAAAACCGTCAAGGTCATGAAAAATAAGGAAAAAATGAAAAACTATCACACACCAGATGAGACTAAGGAAACAGAATGACTAAATGTAATGTGATATCCTGGATGGGATCCTGGAACACACAAAGGACATTAGAGAAAAACTAGTGAAATCAGACTGAAGTCTGGAGTTTATAATTAATAATAATGTACCATGTTGGTTTCTTAGTTTTGACAAATGATTGAGGATACACAATAGTGTAAGATTTTAACAGTAGGGTGAGGGGTACACAGAAATTCTCTGTATTATCTTGGCAAGTTTTCTATAAATCTAAAGCTATTCTAAAATAAAACATTTATTGGAAAGGGAAGAAGAAGGGGAGGGGAGGAAGGGAAGACAGTAAGAGACAAAGCCACGTACATTTTGATCTCTTTTCTGTCAGACTGAAAATTCCAAGACAAATGATTTCAGCTCAGTATGAGGAAGAACTCCTACAACCAGAGCCAAGGTAAGACACTGACTCAGGAAGCAATGAACTTCCCATCAAAGCAAAGGGAAGCAGGGTGATCTGGCAAGGATGAAGCAGAGAGAATCCCATGACACCTTGGCTTAGAAGGTGAACTAGACCTTCCTAGTGCTATCCATAAAAGCATGACTCCAGACTGGATGCATACCCATCTTCTGATCTTCTCTGCTCTTAGAATGAAACCTCAACAAGAAGGAAAGAAAACATCCTGGATGAAACTTCCTAGACTGAAACTTTTTTAAAGGTAAAAGAAAGAATCTGAGGTGGATTAAAAATGAGGAGATGGGAGTAAGATTTTATGCCTGGGTTTGAATTCTGGCTGTACCACTTATTAGCTGTATGACCTTGGGTAAGTCTCAGTTTTCTCATCTATATAAAATGGAAAGAGTATCACAAAGGCCTGAATATCAAGCAGTCCCAAGCCACAGGCATTTTCTTTCTTTTTTTTTTTTTTTTGTGGTACGCGGGCCTCTCACTGTTGTGGCCTCTCCCGCTGCGGAGCACAGGCTCTGGATGCGCAAGCTCAGCGGCCATGGCTCACCAGCCCAGCCTCTCCGCGGCATGTGGGTTCTTCCCAGACCGGGGCACGAACCCGTGTCCCCTGCATCGGCAGGTGGACTCTCAACCACTGCGCCACCAGGGAAGCCCGCCACAGGTATTTTCATAATACTGGGACGATTGCTTAAACTACTTTGTGGTTTAAAATAGAGTAACCCCACAATGGGACAGTCTTTGTAAGGACTCAAACATAAGGGGAGGCCCTCTTTTCTGAGGGTT